GATCCAGCGCCGGTTCCCCTCGCCCACGCCCACCAACAACTTCGTCCTGGACGGCGCGGCGGGGACCGTGTACCTGGCGGCCGTCAACCGCCTCTACCAGCTGTCGGGCGCCAACCTGAGCCTGGAGGCGGAGGCGGACGTGGGTCCGGTGGCCGACAGTCCCCTGTGTCACGCCCCGCAGCTGCCTCAGGCTTCGTGCGAGCACCCCCGGCGCCTCACTGACAACTACAACAAGATTCTGCAGCTGGACCCCGACCAGGGCCTGGTGGTCGTGTGCGGCTCCATCTACCAGGGCTTCTGCCAGCTGCGGCGCCGGGGCAACATCTCGGCGGTGGCCGTGCGCTTCCCGCCCGCGGCGCCGCCGGCCGAGCCGGTCACCGTGTTCCCCAGCATGCTGAACGTGGCGGCCAACCACCCGAACGCGTCCACCGTGGGGCTGGTGCTGCCGCCGGCCGCCGGCGCGGGGGGCAGCCGCCTGCTCGTGGGTGCCACGTACACCGGCTACGGCAGCGCCTTCTTCCCGCGCAACCGCAGCCTGGAGGACCACCGCTTCGAGAACACGCCCGAGATCGCCATCCGCTCCCTGGATGCGCGCGGCGACCTGGCCAAGCTCTTCACCTTCGACCTCAACCCCTCCGACGACAACATCCTCAAGATCAAACAGGGCGCCAAGGAGCAGCACAAGCTGGGCTTCGTGCGCGCTTTCCTGCACCCGCCTGACCCGCCGCCGGGCGCCGCGTCCTACGCGTACCTGGCGCTCAACAGCGAGGCGCGCGCGGGCGACAAGGAGAGCCAGGCGCGGAGCCTGCTGGCGCGCATCTGCCTTCCCCGCGGCGCCGGCGGCGACGCCAAGAAGCTCACCGAGTCCTACATCCAGCTGGGCTTGCAGTGCGCGGGCGGCGCGGGCCGCGGCGACCTCTACAGCCGCCTGGTGTCGGTCTTCCCCACGCGCGAGCTGCTCTTTGCCGTCTTTGAGCGGCCCCAGGGGGCCCCAGCCGCCCGCTCGGCCCCGGCCGCGCTCTGCGCCTTCCGCTTCGCCGACGTCCACGCTGCCATCCGCGCCGCGCGCACCGCCTGCTTCGTGGATCCCGCACCCGACGTGGTGGCGGTGCTGGACAGCGTGGTGCAGGGCACCGGGCCGGCCTGCGAGCGCAAGCGCAACATCCAGGTAGGCCCAGGAGGTTTGGGGCGGCGCGAGGGGGAGCTTGCGGCTAAGTGGGTGTGTTATGCGCCGGGTGGCTCCGAGCTGTGAGCGTGCCGGGCCAGATGTGCGTGCGCAGGCCCCAGGTGTATATCTGGGCAACAGGTGTATTTGCAGGGATGCAGGTGTGCACGTGAGGATGCACGTGCCAGCTGAGATGGGGGCGCTGACGCGGGCTGGCCCAGGTGCAGTCAGTCCGTTGAGTGAGTGAGTGAGTGAGTGAGTGAGTGAGTGAGTGAGTGAGTGCCTGCCCCTGCAGGCTGCCGGCTGCCCCCAGCGGGCCAACCCTACAGGGTCCGGTTGCAACTGGTCAGGTGAGGGCTGAAGAGAGCCAAAGGTGTTGGTGCAGCTCAGGTGTGTGCAAGGTTCTTTGGTATGAGCCGAGCAGCCGTTGAGTGGGTCCCTTTATCAAAGGCGTGTTCTGGGAGTCTGTGAGCGCATCAGGCTGCCCTTGGGCATTAGCAGAGAAGTGGAAGACGGGGCAGGTGCACTCCAAGACAGATGTGAGGCTGCAGGTGGGAGGGACAGGGGCGTGTCTGTCACCCAGGTGGATCGTGCAGGAGTAGGGGGCAGCAGGGGCGTGTGGCGGAACGGGGCGGGCTGAAGTGTGCAGTGGACGTGTGTGACAGGTGGGGAAGCTGCAGGGAGGCCGCTGGTTGCGAACAAGAGTGTTCTGTGGCTGACTTTTCTTCACTCATTCCAACCTGGGCTGAGCACTTGGCACGCCCCGCGTGTAGGGCTGGGGTGGACAGTAGTGCAGTGGACCCTGTTAAAGACTCTCAGGTCTCACAACATCCCTTTGTGAGGGGCTCTGTTCTGTCCCCATTTTATCCTCGAAAGGCACAGAGAGGTTAGGGAGGTTGCTCAAGACCACACAGCAGGGAACTAGTGGGGCGTGAATCCAGGCTGGTGGCTTCATCTGTGTTCCTAAAGCCTGGAGGCCTTTTTGCAGTCTAGCAGCCGGGAACTGAGTAGCTGTTTTCTCAGGTATCAGGAGGGAGCGGCAGGTGCCATGGCCAGGGGAATGGAGAGCGGTGGCCCGGAGAGGGCCCTGGGGGTCAGGAGGGAATGAGGGGGGACACCTTGGGGGTGCGCCAGTTGGGTGCACATGGGGCCCAGGTGTCTGACACTGACTTGGCTAAGGCGAGGGGTCAGGTTGGGGAGATCAGTGTGTTTGTGGGCTTTGGAACCCCCCGGGAGTCTTCTTCAGCAGCCCTGAGAGGCGACA